GAGTGTGGAGAAAAGGGAACCCTCCTACACTGTTGGTGGGAATGTAATTTGATGTAGCCACTACGGAAAACAGTATGGAGATTCCTCAAAAACCAAAAATAGACTTACCATATGATCCAGCAATCCCACTCCTGGGCATATACCCAGAGGGAACTCTAATTCAAAAAGACACATGCACCCCAGTGTTCAAAGCAGCATTATTTATAATAGCCAAGACACGGAAGCAACCTAAATGTCCATCAACAGCTGAATGGACAAAGAATATGTGGTATATGTACAATGGGATACTAATCAGCCATAAAAAAGAATGAAATAATACCATTTGCAGCAACACGGATAGACCTAGAGATTATCACACTAAGTGAAGTAAATCAGACAGAGAAAGACAAATACCATATATATCAGTTATATGTGTAATCTACAAAATGATACAAATGAACTTATTTACATAGCAGAAACAGACTCACTGACAAAGAAAATAAACTTACGGTTACCAAAGGGGAAAGGGAATGTGGGAAGGGATAAATTAGGAGTTTGGGATTAGTAGATACAAACTACTATATATAAAATAGATAAAAAGCAAGGTCCTACTGTATAATACAGGGAACTATATTCAATATCCAGTAATAACTTATAACACAGGGTACTATATTCAATATCCAATAATAACTTATAATAATCCAATAATAACATATAACTGAATCACTATACTGTATACCAGGAACTAACACAACACTGTAAATCAACTACGCTTCAATTAAAAAAATAATTTAAATAAATACACAAAGTAGGCCGTGGGGTGTTAGCTGGTCACTACTGGGTAAGACACATTAGTTGTGAAATAGATAAAATTAGCAGCCTTTACAACTCGAATAACACATTATTACCCCAAGAACAGGTCAAAGAGTGAGTTACCAAATTTGATGTTTTCCTCTACCTAGTTAGAATTTATTTATTGGAAAATTACTTGAGAATGAAACAATAATGGTACACATGGAAAGATAGTATTGAGGGTTTTTTAAATTCTTTTTAAATTCTTAGTTTATTTTTAAGCATTACTCTTATTTTTTTTTTTTTGGCTGACTTACCTAACAGATTTCTGATCTAGATAAAATACAACGCCTAGCCATAGGAAAAAAAAAACTCAGAGCCTAATTAGTTTCCTACCAGTCAACCATGAAAGATACTTCATCAGAATCCTCAATTACTCAACAGTCAGTACATATTTATTGGAATCCTGCTGTGTGGCAGGCACTATTTTAGATTCCACAATGAAAAAGGTAAAGTTCCTGAGGTTAAGAAAATTTCATTCTACCTGGAAAGACAAAGCAATAAACATGCAAATAAAAAAGATTAATATTAAAGAGGATAAATAGGGGAGCTGCTCAAAGGCAGCCACATTCAAGGGATGTGAGCAATGAAAAGAAAGCAGTCATGAAAGTTAGGGGAAAAGCATTCTAAACAGAAGCAGCAATCAACACCAAGGCCCTGAAAACAATGCAAGCTTGGGATGCTTAAGGAACAGGACAAGGGCGAGGAAGAGGGAGCACAGAAAACTAAGTGTGGGAAGAGATGACGTCAGGGCAATAAAGGACCATGGTTTGGAGTCTGGATTTCATTCTGGTTGCAACAGAATGACATGATCTGATTTATGCTTTATAAAGCTCCCTCTCACTTCTCTGCAAAGGACCAACAAGGGTGGGGAGAGTGGAGTGAAGGCAGGGAGACCAGTTAAGCAGCTATTGCAATAGCCTAAGTAAGAGACAGTAATTTGGACTAGGGTTATAAACAAGATAGCAATCAATTCTTGAATTCAAGGAGTATCTGGAAACTAGAATTGGCAGGATGTGCTGATAGATTAGATGTGTCGGTGTAGTAAGAATGAAGGATGACTCCTAGGTTCTGACCTGAACACTGGGTAGGTGGAATGATAGTACATTTAATCAGATGAGAGAGATTTAAGAAGGTAACAAGAGTTCTGTATGGGATATGTTAAGTTTAAAATATCTATGAAACATCCAAGTGGAGATGAAAAGTAGTTGAATATATGAGTATGGAGTTCAGACGTATAACTTCAGAGATTCACCAACATATACAGTTTATTTTTACTATCCACAGTAATTATGTTCTACAAAGTCACCGCAAACACTGAATTAGCAAACACTGAACAACTGCTCCTAGAAGAAGTATAAGGTTATGTTCCTGTGAGCCTCTGGTCACAAGATTTTCATCAACCAATCAATATGCAACCTTGTTTTACATGTGTTTCTGTTTAAAGCAGCCTTATTTAATACATATCACTAATTCATTAGCATTGAACTTACAGCCAACTGCACTAAGAATGCCTGAACAAAACATCTAATACATGTTATTTTCTCGGTGAGGCACATCACAGCCTTCTTGCCCTTAGGAACACTAAGATAATACTTCAACCTATGTACGGGGGCAATTGTAAAATGGGAAATCAACAACAAAAAGCACAAAAATGCAATATAGCACTACACTGACTGTGAGAAAGACACTCATTTTACAGCATGAGAGCTGAAACCAAAAGGCAGAGCACTGCTTTATCTGACCTCAGCTGAGATCCTGCACGTCAGGTGACTCAAGTTTTTCACCACTCTGTGGATGACAACAAAAGCACAGTGAGTACAGATTTGGGGTTACATTAAAAAAAAAAAAAGCTTTAGCAAGTAGGTGAATTCACAAAAAGAAATTCATGAATAATGCATATTGACTAAAGATGGAATTTAAAAGCATGGGACACATTGGAATCAAAAGTAGAATATGGACAGAAAAACTGTAGCAGCAGAGGAAGAAGCCCTGGAGCACACTATTATTTAGAGGTGGGAGAGGAGGAAGAGCCAGTAAGGGAGACTGGGAAAGAACATCCAGTGAAGTAGAAGGAAAACCAGGAAGTGTGGTGTCACAGATGCCTAGAGAATGAAGTATTTCAAAAAGTAGTTAATCATGCCAAATACTAAGAGATAGAGTAGGGTAAGGATATAGAACTGAATACTGACCCTGGGAAAATACAGACAACTGGAGACCTTGAATCGCGCTCTCAACAGAGTGACACAGACAAATGTCCTACGAGAGTGAGCTGAAGAGAGAATAAGAGATGGTGAAGGTGAGACAGCAAGGTCAAACAACTATCAGGGCCTTTGCAGAGAAACAGGAACTGGGAAATTATGTAGCTGAGTAAAAGGATGGTTCTAACCGATGATTTCTGATGATCTTTTTACATGCAGTCATTATCATTGTTACAGACAGAAAAAACTAATGCTGTAAAGACAAAGGAGATGATTACAAGTGTAACGTCCTGGAGAAGGTACAAAGGGATGAGCCCTAAAGCATGAGTGAGTGGGAAGGGAAGTGGTCTTACCCTTCCATTTTAACAGGAAAAAAGGCAATCTGTACAGATACAAATGCAGATAGATTGGTGGACTTACAAGTAAGAAGAGTTACTTTTCTTCTAAACGCATTTATTTTTTCAACTTTAAAAGGTTGAGAGTCACCATGGAATGTATGGGGGAAATGTGAAGAGAAGAGTAGGTATGAAATGGTCAACTCAGAGAGTGGTAAGGTGAATTTAGAAGGAAGTGTAGTAGGATTATCTGCCAAAATATTGAGAGTTCATTTGAGATTTGTGGCCTTGAATATGAAGTGGATCTACTCAGTATGGTTGTATGACTTTCTCCAGCAACCAACCATTCATCACACAACTAATCTTCTCTCTCAAGTTACAGAAATTGCAGTTATTTCCTCTCTCTATGTCATGTTTATCTTCTTATTAGTTTAGAGGGTACAATATTAAGCAGGAAATTCACAACCAAGCCATTAAGAACAGCATATCTGATACTATTTGATATATTATTTTGAACATTCTCCCAGAACTTACCCCATTCTCCCATAGGCCTTGCTGTACTTGGAATCAATTGCTATTGCTTTTTCACAATCCTTTATTGCATCTGTGTAGTGACCTAATTTACTCTGAGCAGCAGCCCTAAGAGAAAAAGAAGAGATTTTTAATACAAGCAGCATTCAAGGCACTAATTTAGATTTTTTCAGGTGGTAATAAAACTACATTTTCCTTGTCCCAATTTGTATATCACTCCCAGTAAATATCTAAATCAAATCAAGATAATTCTATAATCAAATAAAAAGACAACTCAGAAACACAATTCAGAGAAAATATGCAGGCTGCTTTTCACAGTTTGCTTTGCTATAGACAAGATAAATATGAGAATCCTACAGCTGATCTACCTACATACTGCTTCCTAATTCTCCCAGACAGAAAATGGAAAACACCAGGATGTTTGGGATTACGAAGGAGGAACAAAAATTAAGTGACTGCTGTGAATGGCTACTCACAGTGCTGTACTGTTATGTGATCAGTTTACTAGCAGGGTTAAGATAATCTCCAAATCTAAGATGAAAAATGAAATTTACCTGGGTGCCCAAATCTGGCC